TCTTAAGCATGGAGATGAGTTTCCGCACGTGTCAGACACCTGGCTGACAAATAAAAAAACAATTGAAGGCATGAGAAACCTCATTCCTTTATTTAGAGTACAGATTCTAGATTTGTAGATGACTTTGGTTTTATGGAATATAAGTCTAAGTTCAAAGGTTTGTAGATGCTCCGAGTGATATCTTAAAACAATAATAATAACTCTTACATTTGATATAGCACCTTATCGCTTCTTTGCGACATCTGAACAGAGGCGTGTGGGGTAAGGAAACCTGCCTAAGGTTTCGCCCTGCCCAGGAATCGAACCCAGGTCCTCTCTTGCGAGGCGAGTGTGTTCAGAAGTATTAGAAGCATTTAGTTCACCCTGTAAACAAGACAAACCTTTTGAACTTAAAATAATGTAATATGTTTCTCTTATATTCTTTTAGTATGTTTAAAAATGTCAGAGGCAGTTTCTATTCAGTACATATAAGTTGGTGTCGGATCAATGTTATACTTTCATTTTCTACCGAGCTTGATAGTATCCTGCGGAGAAGACAAATAAAGCCCTGGTAGGCACACACCCATTCCTCCACAACCAACCATGCAGGATTAAGATAGTTATAGATAAGGATGTTCATCTCATTGTCTAGGAGGTGTCGTTGAATGTACGTAACTGGGAAGTTTTGGCAAGTTGGAACTTGAGACAGGACTAGTCTCAGTAGTGAATACTTATCTTGATCCATTTGATGTGCAAAAAATTGATACATTGAACCGAATGATTCAGTGAGGCATGAATTGTGTATAAGCATAGCTGAAAGATTTTTGCCAATGGCAACTGGAAAAGAAGCCACAATCACACAACAATTATATGATGTTGTAAAGCAACAGGCATTAGAGAATAGTCAAATATTCTTGAAAATTATGTGCTTGGTTATGTTTTATGGCACAGAAAATTTGCCACTACATTGGCTGATACTGGTCTCTTTCAAATATTATTAAAACTGAAAGATTAGCCAAACATCTAGCACATGGCTGTCAACCATTAAATAATGTGCTCCAAAAATTCAAATTGAATTAATTGAAACAGGTGGAGAATTCCTGTTGTGACAAACATTTGCATGATAAATGTCAATTAAATGATGCCCCTTATATTTCTGCTTTTGTAGATGAAACACTTCTTGTATGGTATAGCAGGTTTCTACATCCTACAGATTTGTGGAAACTAAATATTGCAAACATGTCGTTCGTGAAGAGTTTTCTTCTTTTGGTAGCAATTACAATGTGAAATAGGCATCCTCCTGCTCTACTGGTTCCACAAATTCTCCTGGAAACATCATTTGGGGAACATCTTAATTGGCAGCTTTCATCAGGCAATGGATTTAGTCCATCAATATCCTTTAGAATTTTAAAGACCTTTATCTAAGTCTCCCTTCTTTGTTCCAGTGAAAATAGGTCCAAACAAACAAAATTCACTTTACAGTATAGTCTGTGAAGCGCTTTGAGATGTCCCAGAGACGTGATCAAGTGCTACATAAAATGCAAAGATTATTATTATTATGACAAACATTTCTCCTGAAAAATGGGTTGGTTAATCTCCCGTTTTGTTCAAAGGATCGCCCTACATACAAATGGCCATCACGTTTGCCTAGAAAAACAGTTATTATAAGCACTATAAAAAGGAAACTTCTTATTTTTTTCTTGCTTTTGATTTCTTGTTTCTTTTAAGTATCTGAAAAGAAGGCATATCAGATTTAATTGTAAAATGTGTATTCATCTCTTTAAAAATGTAAAAAATATACATTGTGTCCGTCTTCAACCAGGCACCTGCTTCATTTGAGTACCAAGGATTAGACATCCGTTTCTTAAAAACAAACTCAATCGATTGTTAACAAAAGAATGAGAATGTTCAGTTAGATATTGCCATCAAATTGTAATACATTCCAAGAAACTCTTTCCTACAACTTTCTCTGTGCCATTTCAAATGTAAGGATCATTATTATTAATTGTCTCACATGTAGAAAGATATTAGGGTAATTGGTCTATAATTATTAAAACTTGCATTTCACTCGTTTTTGAATAACCAAATAACATTTCTTATCTTCCAGTCCTATGGGATAATAAAAATAATCCTTGCATTTGATATAGCGCTTTTCATGTCTTCTAGACGTCTCAAAGCACTTCACAGAATATACTGTAAAATGAATTGACTATATATTTGTGGGCGAAACGCGGCAACTGATTAGTTTCAGTGTTTGTGAAGCTCCTAAAAGTTCAAATCAATTTTTAAATGTGTTCGCAGTCAGATGGGAAAACATTATCATTGAAAATAAGAAATGGATGTAAGATTAAAGATGACTGTCCTGGGTGAGGACTGAAAGCTTTTCTGTGTAATAGGATCTTCTTCAAGTTGAACCCTTTCAGTTTACATTCATATCTCATCATCTTATTCTATTGTTTTTTCTTGTGAGTTTACTCATTACTCATTACTCATCATGATTACTCATGCTGTGCTGGGACAGGAAGTTCTACATGATTGTTGTTATCTGCAGCTATGTTGAAGGCAATGCTGGTAAATACCAGAAACTGCCTTTGCAGAGACACAATAAACAGTATCAATTGTAACCAACGATCCAATTGGATCACAAGATCTAGATTCAAAACAGAAGCATCGCCTGTTTCTACTGCAGAAACAAAATGATATTGCTTCCAGCAATTAATTGACTTGAGAGTGAGGATGCCTAATTCATACTTACTGCTCCTAATCACTTTGCCTGGGCTGAGGAGAGTTTTGTACATGTCGGATCCCCACAAACCAGCATGTATTTTTAATTGGGTCTTTAATAACAATAAAAAGGTCACTTTAAAGTTGGGCAAGTTTCCTTACTCCACACCTCTGTTTACCGAGCAGTAAGTAGGAACCTGGTCGTTAGTCGATTGGCAGATCGCTTTTGTGGGGTAATAGTTCCTTCAACAAAATAATAATAATAAATTGGTCACTCAATCCACGACTATTTGTGGGACACTGCCGTGCGCAATTGGCTGCCGGGTTTCACCCACAAAATATATAACCAATTCACTTTACAGAATATTCTGTAAAGCGCTTTGAGACATCTTGAAGTCATAATAAAGCGCTATATAAAATGCAAGGATTATTATTAGTATATATTTAAAGACCTATGAGGAGTCCAAAGACCATTTCTTGAACGTAGCTCAAATTGACTTCACACTGCATGGATTTATATCTAAGAAGTATGAATTGATGTACTGATGAATCCACTGTTTCAAAAAGGGTTTGTTCGCTTGTTGCATTGCTTTTAGGTGTTGAACTCTAATTTATACCGTTGAATTCCAATTTAAATGCAGTATAAAACTACGCATTAGAATATCTTACAGGAAAGGAGATGTTTATATGGACTGTGAAAAACCAAGATCAGATGTGGTTGGGGTACAAATATTGTGGAAGAAAGATTGATCTTCAATCTTGTGACAGGTGTCAGGAGGAAAATAAGCATACAGAGTAGATGCTTCTGGGCTGGTACCTAACATTACACCAGAATTACTTTGTTGTCATTCACTATGGCTGTTGTAGGAAATTGCTGTGTATAAATTGGCTGCTGTATTTTCATACAAGTATACAGTCGCTACATTTTATAGTAAATTCTGTGAAGCGCTTTGAAACATCCAATGTGAAAGGCTTTATATCAAGAGCAGAGATTATTATTAGTAGTATTATATCTCTTTTAAAAAGTATGCTGTTTTTCCACTGGTAGGGACTTTGTCTGCTTTAAAATAGTATTGACACCGTTGACCACTCTATCCTCCTCCACCACCTCTCCTCTCACCTCAACATTCATGGTGCTGTCCTTGAATGGTTCAGATCCTACCTTTCACTTTGTCTCCCAAATGGCTTCTCCTCTAGCCCATGCACCGTCTTGTGTCGTGTTCCTCAGGGCTCTGTCTTGATCCTCTCCTCTTCAACTTGTACATGCTCCCTCTTATTGACATCATCTGAGCACATGGAGTCAATTTCCACATGATACCCAACTCTGTTTCTCAACCTCCAACCTTGACATTCTGTCAGGACCGCTGCTGTCCTGACAGAATGTCAGTCAGACATCAAGTCCTGGATGAGAGCTAACTTTTTGCAGTTGAACGTCAACAAGACTGAGGCTCTCCTGATTGGCTCCCGTCAGCGCCTCCTCACCTCAGCACTGGCAGCATCACCATCCATGGATGCACACTCCACCTCATTGAGCCAATCGGAACCTTGGCGTCTTGTTTGACCCTCGACTATTCCAACTCCCTGCTTGTTGGCCTTCTCAACTCTTCCCCCCACAAGCTGCAGATCATCCAAAACTCTGCAGCTCGTGTCTTCTCCCACACCAGGCTCCGTGACCCTATCACACCCACCCTTGCCTGGTTCCACTGGTTCCATATCCCTCAGAGGATAGAGTTCAAAATCCTTGTCCTTTCCTTCAAGATTCTCCATGGCCTTGCTCCTTCCTATCTCTATGACCTGCTAACCTCATATCAACCTGTGCTCAGCAACCTGTGGCCTGCTCCACGTCACCCGCCTTGTCCTCCCACCATCGGCGGTCAGATCTTCAGCCTCTCTGCCCCCCCCCTCTGACACCGTTGACCACTCTATCCTTTGGAACTCCATCCCACAGTCTCTTTGCCTCGCTCCTTCCTTTCTTCAAGGCATGTCTCTAGACCCTCCTCTTCGACCAGGCCTTTGACCACCATCCTACCCCTACCCTCCACCCCTCCTGATCCCAATCCTCTGTTTGGGCCCAAATCCCTGACTGTTCAGCGCCTTAGGACGACTTCCTGATGTGAAAGGCACTTTACAATTGTAATTTGTGGTTGTGTTCATTAAAGGAGAGCAAAAGGTATGTATTCTGCTGTACAATTTATAACCATAAAATAATGGATTCATTATCTCTTTCACAGCAAAATATGTTATGTTGCCTACTTTCATCTTCACATTAACATTTAACTTTTGTTATTCATACACAGACTGGTGCTCCTTAGCATGGGTGTGTTGTATCACCATCAACCTCTATTTCAATTTGGTAAAAGAAACCAGAACAGATCGCTTTGCAGTGTGAGTATCAAACCAGGTTTGTATTTCTTTTTAAGAAATTGCCTTTGAGACTGTTGATTAAAACTATTCATCAAAACAAATGCAATGCAGTCAAATTACACTGTAATAAATTCCACTGAGTTCTAAAATTTGCTGAATGCTTCTGGTTCAGAAATCCTAAACAATTAGCTGCAATTTCTAGAAACCTTGCCAATTGACATATATGTACAAAGCTTTTCAACTAACATTACTTTCTGAAGATTTGCCTTAATTCCCTCATCTCTTGAAGGCAGCGATGAATGCATGCACATATGACTTCACTGACACTCGCAGACCTTTGGTTTCTTACTTCATCTCCACAAATGGTTTCTCCTCTCAGTTTTGTGCAGCATTCCTCAGGGCTCTGTCCTTGGTCCCCTCCTCTTCAGTATCTATATACTCCCTCTTGGTGACATCATCCGCAGACTCCACTGGCTTCCCATCACACAGAGGATATAGTTCAAGATCCTGGGCCTCACATTCAAAGCCCTCCATCGCCTTTCTGCCCCCTACCTCTGTGACGTCCTAACCCCCTACCAACCTGCCCGCTTCCTCCACGTAGCGGTCTCCGGCCTGAAAATAATCTTTTGCAGTTCTTTATTCCATCATGATCAGACCTCTATTTGTGATATTGAGCTATCCAAAACGTTATAAAGCAATATTTTGTGTATTTCAAATGTAAACATTATGCAGATATCTCATTTACATTCAAGATCTAAACTGTTACAAAATCGTTAACCGTGGAGAAACAAAAAATTTAATACTTATGTTCAAAATATATGTTCAACATATTTTCTGAATATATCATCAGTTTGGGGAGGAACTCCCTTAGTTTTGCAGCTGCTCATCATGGTTTGTGGACTTTAGCTGTTAGGTGGCTTGAATTATGTATGCTAAAGGAGGAGCTGCATGTGTCCTCAAGCAGCTCCATTTAGATTTATAGCGGGCAGATAGTTTAATATTATAGAAATTTTTAGCACAGAAGGAAGCCATTTAGCCCAACATTCAAATTGGTTGGCAGGCAGGACTGGTAACTGATTTGGAACTATAAGCCACAGGAAAGAACAGTAGTGAAAGTATTGAACAATTTCGAGTTGATATCCTGCTTTTGTATTTGGTACCATTTCTGTTAACTGGATGAAGCCGTGCTGAATGTTTGAGTTACAGCACCCGTGTGGTCTAGCTGCTGAGGAGATGAATCCCAAGAGTCTTCTGTGTAACTAGGATATGATTGATATGGTATAAGTATCATTTTTTTCTATAAATAGGGTAAATGCAAAAAATAGTCCCCAGACGTACATTCTTCTTTACAGAAATGCATGTGACCTTAAAAATATTTTTCTAACACATTGAACTGATATTGAATGGCATTAATACAGTGTTAAAACATCTGTTAAAAATTACATGGGCATAGTGGACTTTGAGTAATCAGGTCTAACCTAGGACTGTGTATATTTTACCCACAATATATGCTGTAAAACACTTTAAGATGTCTCGACAATGTGAAAAGTGCAACTCCAAATGCAAGGATTATTCTATTTATTATATATGTTAAGAATGTTATATTTTTTCTTCACCATGATATCTCCACATTTATTCAAACCCAATTTTGAGTAAAGTACTTAAAATTCAAACGTTTAAGAGGAGATTCCTGACAAGAAGGGGGTCCCACGGGAAAATGGGAAGATATTACGCACACCTTTGGCAGTGAACAAGAGCAGCTGTGATAGAGGTTTGGGAGCAGCTTGTCAGCCTTTGCTTTTCAGTTGAGAAATGCTACAACAACAACAACAAAATTATATTTATAGAGCGCCTTTCACATCGGGAAGACATCCCAAGGCGATACCTGATAATCCGCATAATTCCTTCCTCAAATGCAAGTCTTATAATCTAAGAGAAGGCAATGAAACGTAATTTAAAATAATCCAATGTTTTCAAGTTTAAAACGAAGCTAGTTAATATTAAATGGAAATGTAATGTTTGCTCCTAATAGAAATGCAAAAGTTGTGTTTGCAGAAAGAGGGCACTTGTTCCAGTTGAGCAAAATATTTTACCCATTATCATGACTATCACATGCCCAAACTTTTACAGTGAGTGCCAGTTGATTCTTTATAGAGATTCTATCTTGATAATTTATTCTGTGTATTTATTTTTACATGGGATTCTTATAGCTGTAAAAACAGCGAAGCAACATGGTGAGTCTCAGCTTTGCATTTGTTCATGCAGTAACATGCAATAATTTTTATACAAAATAAATGGCACTACATTGTGTGTGGTAGTGGTAATGGTTTTCAATAAATGTGAAGGCAATAGTATTTCTTTTAAGAATACAATATATTTAAGAGCCATAGCAATTATGAAAGACTTCATACGGAAACAAAGGATTTTTTTTAGCACTAATACAAGAGAGCATCATGGAAAATGGCCTTGGTTATCTAATTTTTGTACATTAAAATCACGAGAAGAATAGAGGGTTGTGTTCCATTTGCTTTTTTAATAATGCATGAATAAGATGCTTTTTGGTTCTTTCTGTAAACTGAGACTGAAACTGATAGAAAACTCTCTGTTGAATTAAAGGAGCTTTCTACACATACCATTTGTTGAGTTAAATTGAGGGAAACCCTATTCTAACACTAAGTGGTAACCACTGCTTGGTTAGTAACTATGCAGTAGTATATGTGCTGCATTCATCTGCAATTCGTTTATTTCAAATGGTAATGTCTGAGTGAATTATGCACAGACATGCTCCTGAGATCAGAAATGGTCTTGACTGCATTGCCATCAATGATTCAATCGCCTGTTGAGGCTTGCTGTCTGGGTTCACACATAAATAATGACCATTTGGGCCTGAAGCACATCTGGAACCTTACTCCAGTATGAGTCATTCACTGCCTTTGGGAGAGGATGGAAATAAAATAAAATGTGTTTTCTTTTCTTATTTTACTGCTTTAAAGGATGATAATCATTCACTGCAAACCGATGTAAAGTGCAAAAAGTATTTGTTTTATCTCTGTTCTCCGCACTACAGGAGCAAGGGCTGCAGCTGGATTTAAAAATGTGGCTCTGAACTCTTCACATAGGAAAAAAAGGACATACTTGCCCTAGAGGGGGTGCAGCGCAGCTTCACTAGGTTAGTTCCTGGGATGAGGGGACTGACCTATGAGGATAGGCTGAATAAACTAGGGCTGTATTCTCTAGAGTACAGAAGAATTAGGGAGGATCTTATTGAAACATATAAGATTCTTAAAGGGCTGGATAAAGTAGACACTGAGAGTCTGTTTCCCCTGGTAAGAGAATCTATAACCAGGAGTCACATCTTAAAATTAGGGGTCAGCCTTTTAGAACAGTGTTGAGGAAACATTTCTTCACTCAGAGGGTAGTGAATTTATGGAATTCACTACCCCAAAAGGCTGCAGATGCTCAGTCCTTGAACATCATCAAGGCTGAGACTGATAGATTTTTAAAAAATAGAGGGATTATGGGATATGGGGATAGGGTAGGTAATTAGAGTTAGGTCTGAAGATCAGCCATGATCTTATCGAGGGGCCGAATGGTCTACTCCTGCTCCTAATTCTTATGTTCTTATGAAAGGTGGACTAGCTTGTACCAGAGTAGAATTTCCTCACTGAGACCCTGGACAGTCTTAGAAAGGCAGATTGAGAAACTGAGGACAAAGACATATTGGGAAATGAGACAAAGACTGGCAAATGAGGCAAGCATTAGCTGAGGCATGATGGATATTAGATAGAAATAGTGAGATGGAGGGAAATGCGAAGGACTGAAAGGAGAGAAGGAAACTTGAGAGTAACCTATAAGTATTATAGTATGTTTATTTTTTTTAAAAAGTTACTCGGACAACATTTTATTGGGAAAAGTCTATTCTTCACAGTCTGTTTTTTGCTACACAGGAAAAGTGTGTAGTTAGTTTTAATTTTATAGGTTCAACTTTATTCTAAATGTAGTGTTAATTCAAAGATGTAGAAGTTCCTAATTACAGGGATGGTAGAGTAACTTTCACAAACCTTTTAAAATTAGACATTTTTGCATTGGTGACTTGCCTAGAGTTCATTTCTGTTAGGATTGGTAACGCTTTTACTTTTTCAGACTTCAGTTCCGTTTATGCATCACAACTAATCAAAGGCAGCCTGCAGAAGATGTGGGATGAAATGTCACAGAATATCAATGTGTAGTTCTGTGTGTCCAACGTGTAATTCTGTGTGTCCAAAGTGTAGAACATTTTGATTGGGCTGCTTTGAACAGGAGAGGATATGCAGCAAATAAGTAGGTGGTGATGCAAAGAGGAGGCCAAGAAAAGGAATCTTTTGCAATTAAAGTTATGAATAAGAGTGTATTCAGAAAGCAAGTCTTGTTCACATTGAAAATAATGGAAGAAAATGTGGTTTTGTATACTGTTAATTGGTTTATATGATTATATTTTATTCAGTAAAATTGGAGAATCTGTACTAACAAAGAATAGTAGTGTTAATAAATGTCCCCAAACCTAATATCTGAATGAGTCCCCTGCAAACTAAAGTTGAGTCAAATCTTTTAGGTTCATGTGGAAGGTGAAATGAAAGTGACTTTTTTCATGTTAGGGAACTGGTTTCTTATAATGAAACTTAATGATTATTTGTCTGTGTTTTTCTTTCTGTGACAGCCTATAAAGGAATTTGGCATAATGGAGTCCTGTAGCTCAGTGGTTAGAGCACTCGCTTTGCAAGTGAGAGACCTGAGTTCAATTCCAGGCAGGGCGAAACCTTGGGCAAGTTTCCTTACTCCACACGCCTAATAATAATCCCTCCAAAACCAAAAACAATAATAAATTGGTCATTTTCAATCTAAGACTGTTTGTGGGACATTGCTGTGCGCAATTGGCTGCCGCGTTCGCCCACAAATATACAGTCAGTTCACTTTACAGTGTGTTCTGTGAAGCGCTTTGGGACGTCCTCCCGACGTGAAAAGCGCTATATCAAATGCAAGGA